GTCGAATGAAGTTAAAGCTTTAACTTTAGTGCCCTGTTTGAAGGATAAAGCTCAAGAAATTTTAGAAAACTTGAGCATAGATGATTTAAGAAATTTTAGTGTGTTATCGAAATCTTTAGATCGTCGTTTCGGTGAAGCTCAATTTTCTGAGCTTATTTCAGTCGTTTTCAAGCTAGGAAACAAAATAAAAATGGAAGTTCAATTGCTTTTTTCAACGATTTGGATAAATTAGTGAAATATGCATATCCGAGAATTTCAGGTGATCAAAGAAAACGAATGGCTGGATTACAGTTTATTGCAGGATGAAATGATCCAAAATTACAATACTCTTTGCGGACAGAAAAGTTAAAAGTTCTGTAATCGGCAACTCAACGGGCTGTTAAATTAGAGTCGATTGATGAATTATGTTTCGGAACCAAAGATATTAAAGATGATCATAATAATAATAATGATCATAACGATAATAAAAATTTAAATTTAAATAAACAATTTAATAATAAAAATTATAATAATAATAATTTCAGAAATTTCCGAAATAATAAGAATTATAATTTTTCTAAAAAGAATTTCAGGTAATTCGATGATGAAAATTCTTCTCAAGGTTTTCAATGTTGGGTTTGTGGACAGAGAGGCCATTTGAGAAATAATTGTCAAGTTCTTCAAGCTGTTCGAGCTAGTTTGGGAAATAATTCTAAAAATATTGGTAATTCTTCAAGTGAAAATTCTTCCAAAAAAAATTTCGTCAGAATTAAATCATAATTTAGTTAGTTCTTCGAAGATTCTTCAAGATTCGGATCCTTCATTTAAACCTCTATTTATACTTAAAGGTGAAATTAATGGTAAAAAATGTAATATGTTAGTTGATACTGCTGCTGATATTACGGTTGTTAATTTTTCTTTTTCAATATGATGTTTACTAGAGTAAATAATCCGTTTCTTTCTATTTTTACAGTTTCTGGTGATAAATTTGATTTTGATTTTCTTGAGACTGTAAAAATTAAGATTTCAAATATCAAAATTAGTTTAGAGGTTGTTTTTGCTTAAATTTATGAAGAATGTATTTTGGGAATAGATTTCTTAGTTAAATCAGGTTTGTTTGGTGAATTTATGGAATTTCTCCATAAAAAATGTCTTACTAATGGTAAAGTTGTTTCAATTAATAAAATTTCTCTTGATTTAAATAATCTTCCTGAATTTCTTCGAGATTTGTTTCATAGATCTTCGAAATTATTGGATGAGAAAAATGTTTCACGTTTTAAACAATTATTATTGAAAAATTTAAATATTTGTTCGAAAAATTCTTTCGATATTGGGAAGTGTAAAATTTTACAACATTCTATTAATGTTAGAAATGCTCTTCCTATTAAACAAGTTCCTCGTCGTATTCCTTTACATTATAGGGAAAAAGTTGATACTGTTATGATGGAAACGAAGGAACAGGATGCAATTGAACCTTTTCATGGTCCTTGGGCTTCTCCTGTTGTTCTTGTTCCTAAAAAAGGTAGTGATATCAGATTTGTGTTGATTATCGGAAGTTGAATGATGTCACAGTTAAGAATTCTACTCCAATTCCTCATCAAGAAGATATTTTGAATATGGTTCTCGGTGCCCAATGGTTTTCGACTATTGATTTAAGAAGTGGATATTGGCAAGTTGAAGTTGCTCCTGAAGATCGTGAGAAAACAGCTTTTTGCATTGGAAGTGAACTTTGACAATTTAAAGTTCTTTCTTTTGGTTTTTGTGATGCTCCTGCCACTTTTGTGAAACTTATGAATATAGTTTTACAAGGTCTCCTCGGCAAAATTTGTTTAGTTTATTTAGATGATATGATTATCTTCAGTAAGAGTCTTGATAAACATTTTATTCATCTTCGAAATGTTTTTGAAAGACTTTTACAATCAGGACTTAAAATTAATGCTAAGAAATGTATATTTTTCCAAAAAGAGGTTGTCTTTTTAGGTCATATTGTTTCTGGTGAAGGTTTAAAGAGTTGTGCTGAAAAGATTTCTGCCATTATTAATTAGCCTATTCCAGAAAATAAAAGTGAACTTAAGAGTTTTCTCGGACATAGCTCGCATTATAGGAAATTTATCAAAGATTTCGCTACTTTAGCAAAACCTCTTTATTTAATTAGTGAAAAGAAAAGAGATTTTATTTGGGATGATATAGCTCTTCGAACTTTTCAAAAATTGAAACAAATATTAACTACTATACCTATTTTAGATTATCCTGATCCTAATTTTTTATTTATTCTTGACACTAATGCTTCTAATGTTGGTATTGGAGCGGTTCTATTTCAGAAAATTCCAATTAAGAAAAATGGTGAAATTATTTATCAAGAAAAGGTTATTGCGTATTTTAGTAAGACTTCAAATAGTCGTGAACAAAATTATTGTGGTACTAGCAAAGAATTGTTAGCTGTTGTTATTGCGATTGAACATTCTCGTCATTGCCTTCTTGGTAAACAATTTACAATTAGAACTGATCATGCTTTTCTTAGCTGGTTACTTGCTTTCAAAAATCCTAAGGATCAAGTTGCTCGTTTGTTAGAAATTTTGTTTCAATATGGTTTTGAAGTTCACCATAGACCTGGTCAAAATCATGGTAATGCTGATGCTTTATCTCGGCGTCCATGTGATTGTAAGAAGTGATTAAAAATGGATGCTTATGAAAAATATTCTTTTAATAAAAATATGTTTCATACTATCTATGAAATTAATGATAATTTCGATTGGATTAAATTTCAGAATAATGATAGTATTCTGAATTTAATAATTAAATTCAAAAAGGAAAATAAAATCCCTGAATTTAGTGATGTTTCTCATTTAGATTCAACTTTTAAACTTTATTTACTTTATTGGAATTCTTTAAGATTAAAAAATAGAGTTTCAGTTAAACGATGGAAAGCTTCTAATCTTTTTTATATTATTTTTCAGGTTTTTGTTCCTCGAGCCAAAGTTAATGAAATAATTTCTGAGGCTCATAATTCTCCTTCTGGTGGACATTTTGGTATAAATAAAACAATTCCTAAAATTCGTCAGAGATTCTTCTGGTCTACTCTTAAACAAGATGGTGATATTTGGTGTAAAAAATGTAAAGTTTGTTTTGCTAAAAAGGGTCCTCATAAGAGATCATGTGGTTCTCTTCAAATTTATAATGTTGGCTCTCCTTTTGAAAGAGTTGCGATTGATATTCTTGGTCCTTTTCCAAAAACTTCTTCTGGAAATGAATTCCTTTTAGTTGTTATTGATTATTTTACTAGATGGCCTGAAGCAATTCCTCCTCCTTATCATCAGGCTTCTACTATTGCTGAAGCTTTAGTTTCTCAAATATTTTGTAGATATGGTCTCCCTTTAGAAATTCATTCAGATCAAGGTAGAGAGTTTGAATCAAAAATCTTCAAAGAGGTAATGAATCATTTTGGAATTAGAAAGACTAGTACTACACCTCTTTATCCTCAATCTAATGATTCAGTTGAAAGGTTGAATAGGACTATTTTTCAATATTTATCAAAATTTATTGATAAAAATCAAAAAGATTGGGATCGTTGGATTTCTCTATTTTTGTTAGATTATCGTTCTTCTAGACATGAGACTACAGAATTTTCTCCAGCATTATTAATTTTAGGTCGTGAATTAAGGTTACCTTTGGATTTTCTTCGTGGAATTTCTCCTTCTGAAAATATTTCTAACGACAATTCTATAGGTGAATATGTTTTTGATCTCCGTGAAAAATTACAAGCCACTCATGATTATGTGCGACGTAATTTAGAAATTATTAGGTGTTCTGACTTGGAGGGGCCCAAGTCAGTGAGTCGGAAAAGATTCAAAAATTGTTAATGCCGGACTTGTCCACCGGCGCGTCAGTCAACTCACTGCACCAATCATCGGGAAGTATTTCCCTCATGGCCCAGAAGGCGACTCTACAGTCCACTAGTTTCTTGTTTGCTCGTCCGGCCGACTCGAAGTCAGAACATTTGGTCTTTCGAGCCGGATGAGAACGGCTTGGATGCATATTGAACAACCCTAGAAGGTTCTAGTGCTTAATAATTTTGTGAATATTTTGTGAAATGTTCTGTATAAATTGCTTGGAATTCAGATAGACTCAAATAACTTCCAGTGTTAGTGTGTAAACAACCTTACAGACAAAAGGTGTTTACGCATTCCAGTGCCCAGTGACACTCATTCTTATTATTGATGTGCAGTGGTGCTCAGTCTGGCCAATTTGGACTTCTTTTTAGACGCTTGGCGCGCATTTTGTTCAGAGTCAAGATAGCCTTGACGCCGTCAACTCACGTGTAAATAAACATAGTATTTAGTTAGTGTAGGATCCTTAGTGTGAGTGTAGTCACCTCAAATTATTAAGAGCTCGTAGACTCAGTTAATTAATTTGTGTAATTCTTTTGGTGTTGAGACTTTATTAAAAGCCCACCATTAGATAAGAGTAATTATAGTGACATTAGACAACTCATTTAAGTAAATCATGGCAGATAAACGTGTAATTTCTCCTGCCAAGTCGGACTACGTAGATGTAGCTGACGACAACGACTCAATAGAGGGTATGGCCCAGGCCGCAGCCAACTCAACCAGGTTAACAGCCATCAACCTCCCAGCAGTGAGGTGATGACGTGCCATTTCCGCAGCCAACTCCAGATCACACGCATTCATCTACGCAGACTTCTCACCAGGTAACTCATCATCACAGTCAACTCTCTGCAGTCAACTCTGATTTTGCTTCAGTCAACTCATCAAGTGGTGGTGTGATCACTCAACATGCAGACAACTCAACAATCAATGGTGATGAATCATGTCAATCTACATGCGCTAATAGGAGTAAAGAATGCTTCTCTGATGACTCGACGGAAAGGATGACCTTAGCACATGAGATTTCGGCCTCAGGAGGGTTGAGGGTCCTGGAAGAAGAGTCAGAATGTCTCGTACGATCTCCTACAGCTGAAGAAAAGAGTCAAACTCACACTAGTCAACTCTCAGACGTCTCACATGATTCAACAATCACCAAGAACAAGACAGACAACTCAGAGATTCATGGACGATTCTCTTCAGCACTTAGAGCAGCAGAAGAGACATGGACAAATGAGTCTTCAGATCAATCCGACAGCTCAGCAGTCTTACTCGCCACAGCCAATGCAGTATTACTCTCAGCTTCCAATAAGATTCCTGATAGACTCAGGGTCTGAGCTGACGTTCATCTCATCAAGTGTGGTAAAGACTTGTCATCTCCAACGTCGTCCATCAGTGATATCAGTGCTGGGAATTGGCAACGAACCAGCTGTACAAACTAGAGGAGTGACAACAGTGACACTTAGATCAACTCACACACAGGAGCAAGTTACAATTAATGCTCATATCCTTAAATGTGTCACTGGTATTTTACCAACCAGACAACTCAAGAAAATCAACTGGTCAGCTCTCAACTCTCTGCAACTTGCTGATCCAGACTACTCAACTCCAAGACCCATTGATATCTTAATAGGAGCAGATTGTTATGGTCTGATTGTGAAAGCGGGCATCAAACAATGTCCGCAGTCATCTCTAATAGCCCAAGAGTCCATCTTTGGGTGGATGCTCATTGGAATGCCACAACAGACAAAATGCTCAACTGTGAGAACTCATCACGCAGCACAGGTCAGCTCATACCAGCAAGTGTCTGATCTCTTGACAAAATTCTGGGTTCAAGAAGAAGTTCCAGATACTTCAGCCAGCCAACTCAGCCCAGATGATCAATCTTGTGAAGATCATTATGTTACGACTCATTCAAGAGATCAAGATGGGAAATATGTTGTGAGAATACCGCTAAAAGCATCACCATCTCTTCTAGGCAACTCATCAGCGAGAGCTCATCAGTGTTTACGACACATGATCAGACGACTCACGAAAAATGACTCATATGCACAACTCTATCACAACTTTATGCAAGAATATGAGTCACTGAACCACATGAAACGAGCCAAGGCAAGTCCAGTCAACTCTCCAGTGTATTATTTGCCTCATCATGGTGTCTTAAGAGAAGACAGTGTTACTACAAAGCTTCGGGTAGTATTTAATGGCTCTAGTCCATCTTCTAGTGGTCTATCAGTGAACGATATTCAACATACTGGTGCCAAAGTCCAGAAAGACATTGCAGACGTACTCATTTGGATCAGACAGCATAAATTTGTGTTCACATCAGACATCACAAAGATGTACAGACAAATCAAGGTACATCAAGATGACTGGGATCTCCAGAGAATCCTGTGGGTGGACGAGCACTCCAAGATAATCCCATATCAACTCACAACGGTCACGTATGGTACCAGGTCAGCCCCATTTCTGGCTGTTCGTACAATGATCCAGCTAGTAAAGGATGAAGGTCATAAGTTCCCTCTAGCTGTTGATCCACTACTAAAAGGAAGATATGTGGACGATATTTTTGGAGGTGCTGACACAGTGAGTCAACTGATAGACATCTCAACTCAAGTCAGACAACTCTGCATGGCAGGTGGCTTCCCGTTGGCGAAATGGCACAGCAACTCAATCGGATTCCTTCAGTCAATCACAGACAACTCATCAGAAGAGCAGATCCAATCATTTGAGAGCTGCAAAACAAAATTACTTGGGCTCTCGTGGATTCCAGCGAACGACTCATTTAAGTTCAACTCAAAACCTCCTCGTGAGAAGTCCAAGCTCACAAAGAGAACAATTTTATCAGAAACAGCACAACTCTACAATCCACTTGGATTTCTAGCACCGTTCATTGTCAGAGCAAAGATGTTGCTACAAGAAATCTGGCTAGATAAACTGTCATGGGATGACCAAGCCTCAGATCACATTCTCACCAAGTGGACCAGCTTCAGATCAGAACTCTCACACGTTTCAGACCTCTCAATTCCACGATGGTTAAAGATTACTCAGAAATCTACCGTGGAACGTCATGGCTTTTCAGACGCCTCACAACTAGCTATGGCAGCAGTTGTTTATATACGGGCTATTCATCCAGATCATGGAACTTGTTCAACTATAGTCTGCTCAAAGTCTAAGGTTGCTCCATTGAAGAAGATGTCTATTCCTAGACTAGAACTCACCGCAGCATTGCTGCTTGCCAGACTAATCACTGATGTAAGGAACAAATTAGGCATTCAGCCAACTCAAATGGTATGTTGGACAGACTCCTCAGTTACATTGACCTGGATTCAGTCTCACTCATCCCGTTGGAAGGAGTTTGTAAGAAACAGAGTGTCAGCAATTCAAGAGCTCACTCCAATCAGCGTTTGGAGGTTTGTACCTGGCAAACAAAATCCAGCGGATCGTGCTTCTCGAGGTATCAGCATATCCCAGCTTCGGAAGCACCCCCTGTGGTGGACAGGTCCACAGTGGTTAACAGCAGACGAATCATCATGGCCAACTCAATCATCAGTGTACGATTCAAAAGCTCAACAAGAAGAGCGACCAGTGATCACGCTAAATACTCAGACAATTCACCACGATTATCATTGGGATATGATATACAGACATTCTCGTCTAATCAAATTGCTCAGAGTGACTGCAATTTGCTTCAGGTTCAGCTAACTCCTTAGACGAGTACCTCAGTCATCTCTTACCTTTCCTCTCACGCCACGAGATTTAGAGAGAGCAAGGATCTTTTGGATAAAGGCAACTCAAGAATCGTACTTCTCACAGGAAATCAAGCTGATCAACTCAAATTCACTGCCCGTCTCACACCCCCTCGCACGATTGACAGCATTTATTGACACTCAAGGAGTCATACGTGTTGGAGGGAGGTTAGCAAATGCTAGCTTGGACCAAGAAGCAAAGCATCCCGCAATCTTACCACAGAAAACTCATCTTTCCAGACTAATCATTGCAGATGCTCATGAAAGAACATTGCACGGTGGGACGCAGGCAACTCTGAACCTCATACGATCATCGTACTGGATCATAGGCGGACGACTCCCCGTACAATCCCATATTTATCATTGTATGAAATGTGCTCGTTTACGTGGTGAACGAGCGAAGCAGTTAATGGGTCAATTGCCGTTATCAAGAATCACTCCAGCCCGACCATTTGCCGTCTGTGGTGTGGATTACGCTGGTCCCATCACGCTAAAGACTTGGAAAGGCAGAGGCGCCAAAACATCTAAGGGTTGGATGTGCATTTTTGTGTGCTTCGTTACATCTGCACTACATTTAGAGATTGTAACAGATTATTCAGCAGACTCATTTATTGCAGCGTTCAGACGGTTCACTGGACGTCGAGGTGTCTGCAGAACTCTCCACAGTGATTGTGGCACCACATTCCAAGGCGCAGACACGCTCATCAGACAACTCTTCAAGCAGGGGACTCAACAGGCCAGTCAACTCGCAGCTGTATTTGCAAAGGATGGAACTGAGTGGAGGTTTAATCCACCAGCTGCACCATATATGGGAAGAAAATGGGAAGCTGCAGTCAAATCTGTAAAGTTTCATCTTAACAGAACTATAGGCGACTCACTCTTTACATATGAAGAGCTTTCCACACTGCTTGTCCAGATAGAAGCAGTCCTCAATTCCAGACCACTCGAACCTCTCTCAGCCGACTCTACAGACATCTCAGCGTTGACTCCAGCATACTTCTTGGTTGGTGAACCGCTCGTCACATTGCCAGAGCCGTCACTAGAAGATGTGCCAATGCCACGCTTGTCCAGGTGGCAATTTATTCAGCAGCGACTGCAATCGTTTTGGTCCACGTGGTCGAAACAATACCTTCAGCAGCAACTCGCCATTTCCAAGTGGAAACACCCCTTTCACAACATCACAGTCGGCTCAATTGTACTACTCACTGACGAGAGGTTCCCACCAACGAAGTGGCCTCTCGCCAGAGTGATTGAGGTGTTCCTAGGATCAGACGGACTCATCAGAACAGTCAAACTCAGGGCAGCCACAGCAGAACTCGTCAGACCACTCACAAAGCTAGTCATCTTACCATACACTCCACCAGCAGTAGATCAGCAAAGGCGTTGCTGATGGTGGGACAATGTTCTGACTTGGAGGGGCCCAAGTCAGTGAGTCGGGAAAGATTCGAAAATTGTTAATGCCGGACTTGTCCACCGGCGCGTCAGTCAACTCACTGGACCAATCATCGGGAAGTATTTCCCTCATGGCCCAGAATGCGACTCTACAGTCCTAGTGACGCCAACAAGCACGCGGTCGAGCACTTGTGGCGTCAGTTAGCTCCAGGCAAATCACGCGGTCATCTCTGTATAATTGTTCGCAGTCAAATCGCGGTTTTGTGCAGTCAGCTCACCTTTGGTAGTACCGAATACAGTCAAGTAGACTCAGACAACTCTCACGAACAAAAGTGAATCATCATCATTACTCTCATCAGTGCCAGTGGTCCAGTATAGTCAGTTGTAGTGTCTTTGGGCGCGAAGCTGAACTGGCGTCGACGCCATAGTGCCTCACGGACATTCACATATACATCGCACACCCGAACAACTCTGGTGTATACCGTGAATGTTGCTATTGGCTGTTTTGAGACGTTTTTTGGTGAAAAAACAACCATCAGATAATTCAAAAGTGTATGAACAAGTAATGTACAGTCAACTCACATAAACTCAGTGATTATTAATTTCTATTGTTTAAGTTAAGTGTTATTGGTTAATAAAATCTATAAAACCCATACAATTTGGTGTTAAAGAACTATTTTTAAGGAACCTTCTAGCATCCAACCTGTTTCGTTATTCTGCTCTTAATTATTACAGTCCACTAGTTTTTTGTTTGCTCGTCCGGCCGACTCGAAGTCAGAACATCAGGAAAACTTAAATTTAATTATGATTTAAAATCTAATATGTTGTCTTTTGACATAGGTCAACAAGTTTGGTTTTATTTTCCTAAAAGAGTTAAAGGGAAATGTCCTAAACTTTAATCAGATTAAGAAGGTCTATATATTATTAAAAACGAATTAAATAATGTTGTTTTTAGAATTCAGAAAATTCCGAATGGTCGTTTAAAAGTGGTTCATATGTATAGACTCGCTCCTTATGATGTTGATGATTGATTGTTGACTCTTACTGGATTCCTTATTTCTGTTGAATTCAGGGTTTATGTAACTTCCAGTCTGAGAACGTCGGCTTTCATTGATCATTTGATTGTTGAGTTAAATTCACAATGTCTATCCTGGAGCGTTCTCGTGGAGTTACTATAGGATATACACGGTTGGAGCGTTGGTGTTGTTAACCTTTTTTTCATTAATGGCCAAAATGAAGTTAAGTTAGGCACTCAGTGTCTATGGTATCCCATAAAGTTCGAATAGTTGATTTGAACTATTGAACTTATGTTTTTATAAATATGTATTGAAAAAATGTATCAAATATTGTATATAATTTTTTTGCTTCTTTAAATAAACTGTAAGATTTATGATATGTATGCTTCTGACTTATTTCTATAATAAAAAAAAACCTCTAATCCTAAAATATTTATAAGATTGTTTTAAATAAATATGTTCAGTAATTAATTACTGAATAGCTAACTTCACTCAATTAAAGAATTTAAATCTGGTCACCTTGCCGGCAACCAATAAAAACACTCATCACTCGGACCTATTAGGGCCCGTCCCCGATCGACTTCCAGGCTTCACGAATTTTCTCGATAAAGCTTGATAGCCGATCAGTTGCTGAACCGCAATCACCGAAGCTAGATTGTAAACATATAATTATATATTTTCCAAATTAATTTTCGAATTTGTCTACTTAATGGTTGAATTCAACTATTCTATCATGTAAAATTAAACAGTATGCAGTTGTACCTAGGGGAAACATTTCAGTAGCTTCATATTCAAGACAAACACCGACTGGCCCTGCTTTAATGTATTCATTTTGTCTTGAACAATCTATTACAATGAATAGTCCTCTTCCCATAAAATTTCCTTTATTTAAGTATAGTCTTTTAATGTTTTTACTATAATAGGATAAATAAAAATTCGTATACATTTCATACAAAAGGGCATATTTACTATTTAAAATATCAATATTCATGTTAGCATATGGATATCGCTGTGAATTTAAATAAACCGCAAAATCTTTAAATTTACAATGATTCAATATATCAGAGCGTTTCGATAATTGATTTTTACGTTCAGTTTGTGATGAAAATATAATATATCTTGGCTTCTCTAGTTGATTTGTTGTCTTCGCAGACCAGATGTGTTTCGTTGTTATAGGTAAAGATGAATATTCATATAGCTCCTATGATCCGAAGGGTATCGATATCGGTCGATCTGTACTGATGTAATCCAACATATCAACTTTTTTGAATCAGACATTGTAACATATGGCACACACCATTCAATTTTATCAAGAGTAATTTTTAAATTTTCTGCTGCTGTTGTTGCCGCATTAGCTATTTTGATTTGATGTATTGCATTCAATTCAGTGTTGGCTCTTATGAGTATTAGCTCATGTTTACAGTTAAAAATGACTTGTTTATAATCCTCAGCAAATCCAAATAATAATTTTAATGGTATGATGACGTCAAAATTTCCGTTAGAATCACATAGTTTTTTATTATCAAGTACCATTCCACTGTTTTCAAAAGAATATTCTTGCTCTGGTGTAAATGATAGAAATCCCTTCATGAATGTTGTAATGCCCACATTTTTACTACGATAAATTTCAATTCCATTTAATTCATATCTCATTTCTTCATCTAAGAAACAAGCAAACATTGTTGCAAGTAAAGATCTGTTTGATGTAGCCCTCCCATTGTCTTTTGGAAATTTACCAGTGATATGAATTGAACTTCCACATGGTAAAAAACATAAATCTTGATGTTGTACAGCTATACGTATCTCATCATTGTTTTTATTTAATAATGAACCATATGGCTGATGGGCGTGAATCTTATAATGAGATATAGATTCATCTTGAACAATTCTTTTATTAATTTTTGATGCCGTCGCCTCCATAGTATTAAGTATAACAAACTGAATTTAAATTTAACAATTTTTGAAATTAAGTCTAAACCAAGACTTTCTAGGAATTGAGTGTTCTGAGGAGTCAGTTGTTTCACTGTTTCCCTCGTTTTTTTCATCTTCTTTTGTTGAGATGTTGTTCGTTTGATTGTCTTTCTTAAACTGTGTACATTTATGCATGGTTGATGGTTATTATAACTTTGTTCTTCCAAATGACCACCATAAACTATTACCCTTATATACTCTTTAAATGTAACCTTACAGTGACTGATTCATATCGATCATTAATTAATTTCCCGTCTTGATCCACAACTCGTATCTGAAAATTATGTATTTCCCTCACTGTGACTGGAAGATAAATGACTTTTGTAGGTGATTCAATAATTTTATATCCTGGTGGGACTAATGGAAAAAATGCATGAATTGTATGAGCAAATTGATTATTTATGTATGCACCACTTGTAATATTACACTCTACACATATTGCATTAACACTTAATATTGATGTTGGTTTTTCTAATTTATATACTTCTCCTGCTTTATAAATTTTTCGTTCGAAAGCTAAAAATTCACCGATAAAATCTTCAGATGTAAAGTCAATAGCTGATTTTTCGCTATATAA